AAAATTGCATTTTAAGCCCAAAAATCATCAATTCTTTATTCAATTCCTCTATTTTAAACCCCTAATATATCATTAAACCCAACCATCATTACTTAAACCAACTTATATCCATGAAAATCATCTTTAACCTCAAAATCATATCCTTCATATATAATTCAAGAATCATACCCAAATTTCAATATGTTCTAAATACACTTCTAACACTTCATATTCCTTGATTAAGTCGATGACAAGTCAAATTCAACCTCAAATTTCAAATATAAACTCTATTTCAAAATTCCCTTCAAGAACTCATAATCTTTCATTCTTCCTACACCCTTCATCTTGTTGTTTTACAATAACTTAAGCTTTCCTTAAGCTTAATTAGCATCTAAGGATAAAAACCAAACTTAAATTTCAACTAACAAACAACTTATAAGAAATCTAACCTTTGTTATGAGTTTTCACGTTGGGAAGAAAGAAGAGAATAAGACAATTCTGGAAGCTTATGTTTTTCCTCCTTCCACATGTATCTAAAATAAATATATCTATTCTTTAATTATTTCCCATGAAAATGACCATTTTACCCTTCTATTCTTTCTTCCTTGCAATTTAACCCTATACCAATTACAATACTATTCAATTATTATGCTTTAGTCAGCAAATTTTGAAGTTTTACAATTTAGTCACTAACCCGGTATTGAGGCTGTTACAATTACCGTGGCAGTAGCACACATTTTACTTGAGAAAAGCAAATGTTTTTGGGTGTAGTTTATAAAGATACTATTTCTGAGAAATAAGCGGTAGTTAGATATTGTGAAGGAGTGAAAGAACACTAGAGAGTTTGAATAGAGAAGAACACCGGGGGTTGCCTGGTAGGGAAGTTGGAGTTGATCTCAGTGTCATGGTAAACTGCAAAGAGATATCAAACACATTATAAAGTGAGGCCATCTAATCAAGGCTAGTGAGATCGAATTTAAGGCTACATAAATCTTGCTTCTGATATAGGTGATTGCCATAGTTAGGAAATTTTTTTAAAGAAAGGGTTTGCCTGTGTACATGTTAAGAAATGTTTTAAAATATATTTTAAGTAAATAAATCACCGAGTTAAAATGAGTTTGTGTTGAATACGTCTAAAACATGATGGAAATTAGAATAAGCTTTTGGCTTTTTTTGGTGGTTCTTGTGGATTCTATGGAGTAGTGGCACGGCAATCATACAAGTCAAAGACTGTTTAAGTTGTTAGTGCTTTACATTGACAATTGCCCATTTTGATTTTTCAGATTGAAAAGGCTTTTAAGGAAGGAACAGCACGCCAAAATGCATACAGTATCTTTGTTTGCCTTACAATAAAGCTGTCGTAGGAACTGTCCATGTTGCATGCAAGGAGATTATTAAGTTGGAAAAGCAGGTCTGAATAAATTGGTCATACTTCAGGATAGGCTTTCCTTTCTGCGTATTAGCAGATATAGGAGACTTTTCGTTAGTTTTTGAGAAATATTATTGGCATTAAACGATTCTACAAATGAAGCTTCTCGAAGAAGAAGAGAAGGAAAAGCGTGAAGAAGAAGAACACAAGGAGAGGAAAAGAACAAAAGAACGAGAGAAAAAGCTCAGGAGAAAGGGGAGACTGAAAGGAAAAGGAGAGAGAGAAAAAATGTGCAGAGTTGAGCATTGCACCTGCTGCTCCTGATTTATCCAAGGAAGTATCTTCAACATATATCGAGATAGAAGAAAATATTGCTATTGATTGCAGAGACTCTGTGAGTGAGACAGGATTGTGTCTACACTTGGTTCTCTAGACGATCAAGGAGAACAATTTTTAGATGAGGATTCAACTTCAAGTTTGCAAAATCACTCTTTAGATAGCCCAGACGGAGAAGATGCAACAGATGGGAAAGAATCTTTCACTATGGAACAATCAAGATCTTCTCGACGGAGATTGAAATTTTGCAGGGATGGTCAATTTGATATGCCTGTGAAACAGTCTGATCAGCACTGGTTTGCCGTTTCTGAAAGTGCACCTGTTAATAGATGTGAAGCTAGACACAAAAGTGAAAGCTTTAAGGCTCCTTCAAGTAGCATCAATGGACTAAATAGGCAGTCCAGGATAAGCAGTACCAAATCCAATGGCCGGAATTGTGGTGTTAAGTATACTGAAATGTTTCAGTTTCCAAAGAGCCAGAGTGGCAGATATGAAGTTTGCAGTTGCGGTCAACATAATGTGTACAAAGCCAGGATTGAGCCATATGTTTCTGCTACTAGAGTAGGCCCAGAACCGAAGTCTGTAAGCAAGTCAAAATCATGCTTTGGATACGTCCAAGCAAGTCTATCCTGGTAACAAGTATAATCAACAAGAGAACATGCGCGGAGATTTTGGAAGACTAAAGAAAAAAATTATTTCAGGAAACATTCTTCTGGTAGAAGTTAACTCCATTGCAAGAAAGTTTGGAACCCAGCAGAACACCAGAGAAATTATTCCTGGAGAAACTCTGATACGGATATTACTCTGAGGCCATCTACTTACAGTGAAGGAGCTGGACCCAATCATAACTTTGTTAAGTCATCTGGTGAGACATGCTCAATCAAAGCTAGAGTAAATTTGGGAGAAATTGATCAAGAGCATATCAAAGTTAACAAATCAAGCACCAGCATTGCAACAGATGAGGATTTTCATGTTGAAACGCAAGATAAATGCTCTTCGCGAAATGCAACATCCAAGGAAGTTGGAGTTTTTCCTCATAGAAACCCTACATTTAATGGAATTTCTCATTCTGTGATGAGTAGCACTTCTAGTTCTGATAACTGCTCTTCATGCCTTAGTGAAGGAGATAGCAATACCTTCTCTTTGAATCATGGAAACTTAGAATCTTCATCATCAAATTCTGAAGAGGCCAGTCAACAATCAGATGGGAAAGATACTTCAATTTGCTTTCAAAACGGTCTCCAAGCTTCAGGTGAAAGGGATTGATAACTTACAACACGTCAATGGAGGGGTTGATTTCGAAAGCCAGCCATTGTTTGGACACTCACTTGATGGAAGAGATTTCTTCAGTCTGCATTCAAAATGACTTCACCGAGTGTCTAGTGAAAGGAATTGATAAAAAGCAGGATGTCAATGGAGGGGTTGCTTTGGAAAGCCAGGTATTGTTTGCGCAATCCAGAAATCCACCGACAACCATTGAAATTTCTGATAATGAAAATCAACTGCTACTGTGGGTTCTCAACACCAAGGCATGTTTACATCAGTTCAAATCAACCTCTACAATGTCCTGTCTATCAAGCTCCTTCAACCATGGGTTACTGCCATCAGAATCCCGTTTCTTAGCCGGCAACACCTGCTAATAGATTAATGCCTTTCCCTCCTCCGAACCTTTATTTTTATACCAGCCCTCTTGTTTATGGTTTGAATGGGAACTCAGGTTTATGCATGCCATATGGCACTATGCAGCATTTTGCTACCCCCATGCTTAATCCTGGTCCGATTCCAGTCTATCAGCCAGTTTCAAAGGCAAATGGCTTGTATGCCGAGATCATATTCAGATTCTTAAGCCAGTTACAACAAGTGAAGAAGCTTTCAGCGAATGGAATACCAAGAGAGTTACTCCTGGTAGGTTGCATACAACAGAACAAGCAGCAAATGGAGAAGGTAGGCAAAACGATGTCTCTTCCAAATCATGCAGTGGTGACAGTAGCTTTTCCTTGTACCATTTCGGTGGGCCGGTGGCTCTTTCGATGGCATGCAAATCGAATCCTGCTTCTCTGAAAGAAGAGATTGCTAGAGAACTTTCTTCTCAGTTTTCAGCACCTCATGTTGAAAATGAGACGAGTACCGAATAGTACAGCCTGTTTGCAGGGAGTAACAGCATACGGTTTTCGTTGATATGGAAGTTTGGGAGTAGTTTGTAGTTCGGCGTTACAATAATCTTTACTGTGAAAGGAAATCCAAATTTAGTTTCCTAAATTTTTCTTTTTTAAAATGTAGAGGAAGAGTGAGTGCGTGTAATGTTTGAGGTTTTCTGTAGTATTGATGAAGCTTTGCTTTGCTTTGCTTTAATTTCAATATCATCTTTAGATTCTAATCTAAAAAATAATAGTATTGGATTATAAGCAAACTCTATTGAATTTGAAATCAACATTAGCATTTTAATGCTCATCAATAACTTGAGCCTAATGGGAAAGTGAGTAAAGAGGAAGGTACTTGGAGTGACCCCATTGAATGTATTCGACAATGGTGATTGTTTTGGCAAATGAAAGCAGTTTTGGAATACGCTTAAGCCAACTATTTTAAGAATATCAAGCATTCCCTTCCACACTACCCTCCTGCCATCAACAACAGTAAAATGTCAATGCTTCATGCTTTAACAACACACAAAAATATTACATACGATACAACATGAAATTATATATATGGGTAAATACAACAGTGAAGATTATCTGATTCACTGTTGCATAAAGACGAAAATGCAATATGCCCTTTAAATTATTATTCAGCTTTTTTCATTTCAAATTATTTATAAATTATTCGACTTCTGTCATTTCAAATTATAAAAATAAACTGGAAAGATATTGCAAAAAGGGGACAAAACCCTCCATAAATGACTCCTTTTAAGATCTAATTTCCCATTCCAATTCCGGAATCAACATTTTCTCTCGGTTTTAAATTCTCTCATGTCAATTTCAAATATTTTAAACAAAATTTTTATTTATTTAAATTTTCAAATCATATATCTGATATATACATGTAATCCATATGACATGGTGAATAATATCAAAACGACAAGCAAACGTTAATCTCATCATCCATATTGCAGGATATACGTTATCACTATTTTTAGAGAGAATCCTTTAGACTCCAGAGCATGTCACATTTGGCCCCCAAAACACAATTAAGGAATCAATAGTCTTACCAATAAACACATCATTAACAATAAAACCAAAACCAAGGGGATGTATGTATGTTCCCAACACTTCATGCAAATTTATCATAAATATATGGAAATTACAAATTCAAACTACTGTTAAAATAAAGCATGGTCATTATTTCTTTTGCCTTTTCTTTTCCCATTGCTAGGTATCTGCTTCCAACTGTTTTTATGTTCTGCATTTCATATGATTGGCATGATTTTATCTAGACAGTGAATAAAATAATAATAATAATTAAACCGTTCATTGTATTCCAATAATTACGACTAGAAATCACTCCGTTGTCACCTCTCGTATCAGCCCTCATGCAACTACTGAAGAACTCATCTCATTCAGAATGCGGTAGTACATAAAGAAATCCGAAGTGCTACGGAAGCCGGGAATGAAATCTGAAAAGAAACGCAAAACTGCGGCCAGGTGTTGAGAGTCATTGGAGGTGGTAGCTGCTTCAAGAAATAACGAGGGCTGGATGGTAGTCACCTGAAACAATTTAAACCATGATTTGGTGAAATGCCCTAATATCACACAGATTCAAGTGTGAGTATTGGATGCATGGATGTGTCTGATACGGGTATGTTTAGATTTTTCTAAATTTCAATACATTTGAGGATCAAATATCCCCATTCGCATGTCCAGGTATGTGCATTTCAAGGAAATGCCATCAAATACCCCCTATATCTTGACAGCAATTTCAATCAAGTAAAGAATTAGGTAACAACTTAAGGTTCAGAAATATGCACCGGCATTTTACGTAAACAACAAATTTATTTTCGAATGCAGTCATCTAATAAAGGATTACCTTATGCTTTCGTGCATAGCGTAGAGCTTCAAGATAATATCCATCTTGTGCTAATAACAATACATAATCCTGATGTAAAGAAATCTGTCTCAGCATATCAGAGCCCAGTTTCCTAATTTGAAAATTTTGACGACCTGACTCCAGCAGCTGTAGAGCAACTTCTTTCGAGGGCTCAATAATCTGAAGCAGAAGAAATGGAACTCTTAAAAAGCTAAAATCAATATTCAAACATCAGTACTTTCGTTCTTGGCAGGGAACACTTATTATTAAGGTAAAAAGAGACTTGTAAACCTTGTTTATGACGAGCAAACCAAGTTCTGCATATTGCTCGCTGCGGGCCAATAGTTGGATAGTTAACACGTACAGATTTGGATGCACTTTGACCTTTTCTAAATTGGTACTGCAGAAAGTAAACATATAAGATTTCTCGGAACGAAGTACAAACCAAACTCACACCTCCTTTTCCATACAAGTACCATAGTCAAGGAGGACAATAAGCAAGAGTTAGCTTGGTTTATCATGCATTTAATATTCTTCAACCTGCTCTAGCCACAGTTATACCAAAAATTCTTTTCTTTCCCTCCATGGCTCATTATAACTGATCTAAAAAGGAAGGTAGCTATATGTTGTAAGAGCTTACTTGATGCATATCTACACATATATTATACACTTCCAAGATCTAAACACTTACATAAGGCCACATAAAATTTGCTGCTCAGTTGAAGGACAGGCCAAGGACGTCCTCACAGTAACCAGGACATGATTTATTAAATAACCTATGTTTCTATTGACCACATAAATGGCTAATAAAGCATGGTTAGCCACAAGCTTAAACACAACAGGGAGCTTTGTTTATATATCCAGAATATGACTATAGTAGCTCTTAACAAGCTTAAAGCCAATTTTAAGAAACCTTAGAATTGTTATACACAAGAGTCCTAAACCACTTAAACGATAATTATACCTTCGAAAAAACTCAAGAATGATGGCAACTAGATAAGAAGGCTCTCCAATCATCTCTTCCTCAATAGGAGCAAAGACAAATCTGTACATCTCCTCGGGTGAAATTGCAGGTGAAGTGAACTGAGATTCCTGCTGCTCAGAAACAGTAGCATTTAACGGATTATCAGTGGAAGAACTTTCAGCACCCATATCCTGTTTGCCACCATCGAATTGAGCATCATTCGAGCTGATTTTTGATGGTTCAAAGCTGGAACTATCCTCCATTTCTGAAGACGAATAAGTTGCAGGCCTACTGACAGATACAATGTTGACTCTGGAAGCAGATTCGTGTTGGACAGATTTTCCAAGTCCATCTTCCCTGCTGGTGTTTACATCTATGCCTTGTCCTGGGCCACCCACATTTGGCACACTCGAGGGGGTCCTCTCGGTCTTTGTTCCCTTGAAATAACTGCCAGCTTTCAGAGAGAGGGCATATGAGGTGACTAATACATCCATTGCCTTGCCAACCATGGTGATAGGTCTGCATTCTAGAATCATTGTTTGTGTAATTGCCAGACATAGTTGTTTAGCCTGAAATATCAGGAGCAACATATATTAACACTAGACAATGATTATGTCACCCTTCATTGTGGAAAGAGAAATAAAGTCAGCTGAGATTGACCTTCTTGGCTTCCAACTTTCGTCTTTGCAAGAATTCCAATACTGATGGAACTTCCGAGGAACTAGCAGAAATTGCCTGCAAGGAGAGAAAGTGGGCAACAATTACGAGAGTTAACTATAACAAATTCAAAAACTATGACCAACAAGACTTGCCTCCAAATCTAAGTGTATCTTCCATACACGTTTATTTGCAATATCACAAATAAGGTCGGGAACCAAAAAGGTCCAGCCATCTCCATAAATAATTGCTTCATTACCAATTGAATCAGAGGCCTCTAAACTTTCACTTTCTTTGGTGCCAGGTAGAGATGTAAAACTATCAGAACTTGGAAAACCCCTCAAGAGTACAGGAAGTGGAGCAGATATGGGAGCTCGAGAATCTGAAAATATGTCATAGAGTATAACAACCTTCGCATCTACTTGGTGCACAAGTAGCACATTATCAACCACACTCACTGCAACCTTGCATGAATAAATTGGCAACGAGCCCTGCAAATGGAATGAGCTTGGTTACGATTTGAATCAAGCCTGTACCTGGAATAAACTAGAGGGAGTTTTGAGTAACACTTACCTGTTGGATAATAGCATCACGGTAAAACCTATATGAATGCAGTACCATTGCAACTCGATCAACTTGCAAGCAGTATATTCTCCCATAGCTGTCAAAAATATAAAAGTAGATAAAATAAACATATACATGATTTAGCAAGCAATTTCCAGTATTAGCAAAAAAAGATAAGAGAAACATACACAGTGACGATATAGACATCTTCAGAAGCAAGGACAGGCTTACTGTTAGTTTCAGGTTTAGCCATTACCATTTCAAACTTTGGTAATCGAATAATCCCAGCAGATGAAACCTGACGGTAAGAGATAGCACCTTGTCAAATCAATGGAAATAGGGACAAAAAGGATCATAATCTATCTGTACTGTTCATTAAATGCTCCCTACCAGAAGGGAGTCAGGCGCTTTAACGCTTCATAGTCATGTGCACTTAGTTGAATAATTTCAGTTTTTTACCATTTTCTCACATTTACCACCAAGACCAATTTCAAACTTCATTTCCTTGCATGGAGGAAGCATTGCCTAGAAAAAGTAGAGACCAAATCTAAGAGGATTCTAGAAATTGAGCTAGTGAAGCTCATAGTCATACCTGAAACCCATGGAATGTTTTGCACTGCATTCCTGAAGCAAGAAGAACCAATCTGCTCTCATGTGTATAGACATACCAACTAACAGTCATTTTCTTTGTCTCAACCAAGACCAATGACTTCAAGTCATGATCAAAAGCAAACAAGTCCAACCCACTGCCATTAAATTCCATTCCAGTAAATAGAGTACATTAAATCTTTGCTGCTAATAAAAGTAGAAATATTAAAAGGAAAAATATAAATAAGAATATAAAACATAACTCAAAATAGAAAAGAAGGATGATTATTTTCAATAACAAAGACAACAATAATTGTAGGTCTTGATGGATGATTTGATGATGTTATGATGCACAATTCATTTAAGTTGCCAAATGAAATTTAAGAGTATAAAATATAACGAAGATTGTTGATTTTAGCCTTGGGAAATGCTTCTTAATCTGGAATTCTGGATCCATGCTAGAGCAGTATCTCCCCAAAAATAACTTTCATACTTTGTTCTCCTTTATGGAGGTATTGATAAAATTTCTAACAACAAATACTTTCTCAAAAAATAATCGTTTTCCTCTCTATTTTTATATTTTATTACTTATGTCCTTGGTCATGCAACAAATACAGCAAAATTCCATGCATAAATGGCAAAAGAAAATCTACAGTGCCATGACTGATACAAAAGTTCTAAGGCTACTTCACCTGGTTGCATGGCCTGAAAGAGTATCATTGCCATTAATAACAAGGGTAGGATAAAGGATGATTAGGTGATAATAACTTCTTTTTTATGCATGCTAAATAGTAGGCAACTCCAAATTTCACACTCAATCTTAGTTCAAGTGTTAAGGGCGGGGTTGGATTGAGAAGTAAAAAGAGTGTCAGGTAATAAAAAAATTCTAGTTAATGGAATAAGACTGGAAACTTTATACATCAGATATCCAAGTTAGAGGGAATCAAGCGCTCAGCTTCAGAGAAACATTCCTATTACATGAAATCTTATTCCTTTTCAGAAAAACCATGTCTCAATTGAAGCAGAATTCTTACATAAAATATCAGGTTAGGATATTCAGATGACAAATCATTGCCCAATTCAAACATAAAACAGACAGGAAGCTTCTCCCTACCTGGTTTTCACAACTACAATATCGCATGATGGACAATCTGTCCAGAAAAACCCCAGTATAGTCTCTGACTCGGACTTGCACCTGTGAGTGAAAATTTCCCCAGTTTCTCTATGAAAAAATTGTATAGAAGTGTTGGACCGTTGAACTGCTATAAGCTTTTCATCTAGAGAAAATCGGATGGAGCAGATAGGCCCTTCGGTTATTGAATCAATGTCAGGGGCAGCATTTAGAGAAAATGGAGCAGTTTTCCATGAAAAGATCTGTGCATAAAGAAATGTAAAATATGGAACAGCAATATCTAAAAAACTTATACCATACTATTTAACTTCAGAACTATTAGACCTGATCTGATGTTGGAGAGAGGAGCAATTTATTTCCATCATCATAATAGAAGCCTCTTGGATCAGGAATGCTGCAACGTAGAGGGGGATACTGTATGAAAACATGTGACACAGCACCAGGTCCTAAACCACCAACACTGGCTTGTGAACTTGAAGCTTTCCCAGCCATTTTCCTAAGGTTATGTTGTATTTTTAACTACAGAACTCAAATTTCTGGAGAATAATAACACAGATAAAGCACAAAAAGATAGTATCAGTAAAATAAAGAATGTACAAGTGCTTAAAGACTAGCATCAAAGAATAAACAGAAAAGTTCATTGGATTTACCTTATCATAAAAATTTCAAGCCCAAAGCTCAAAATATTAAACCTTTCCCCGGAGCTATAAACCAAAAAAAAAGTATAAAACATTAATGTTAGCACACTCTTTTCAAGAAGGAAGAAAGCTAGGATCTTTGCAACCAAATTATCTACCTCAGTATATTTCTTTCTCTTAAAATATAAATATGTTTCTAAGCAATCTTAGAATATAGATACCGTATTCTGCATGCAAGTCTTCAGTGCAAGAAATTCTTTCAAACACATATCACGTTCAACTTCCGGAACTTTAGCTGCAACACAGGCCCCGTATTCTTTTGCCTGCAAAGACAACATTTTAGGCAAAACAATGAGCCAAGTGTAAACAGAATTTAACAGCAGTTTGAAGGAAATATCTTTCATCAGCTACGTTTCAGTTCATTTTCAAGTTTCAACCTCAGTTATTCGTTATACATAAACTTCAAACGTAACGCTAAGTGCTAACAACAACAACAACAAATCCAAAGTTAAATGTAAGAATACTAAGTCAAATGAGGGCCTTATCGACAAACCTGTGCAGTACAATTCGCTAAAATGCGCCTAAGCGGAGAAACTGTTTTCTTTTCTTTCATATCAACAACACTGAAAAGGAACAAAAGGAATGCATCATAATTTTCAGAAATTGAAAGAGTGATAATTGTTCGTGGACTGATGAAATTAGGGTTTTCAATTAAACTGATAATAAAAAGATTGAAAAGCAAAATTCGAGCCAAGAGACTGATTAACTTAAAGGAGCAAACTGCGAAAGAGAAAATCACCTGGGCAATTCGACATTTTTATTACCCGGGAATCGGAGAACAAAATTCCACTGATATTCTTTTCTTTGGGTACCAAATCTAAAGAATTTATTTTCAATCTACAAAACTAATTTACTTCTTAAACTACACCTAACGCTCCTCGTCTCGAAAATTAGGGGAGGTACAACGTCGTCGTACAGGAAGACAACATAGAGATTTGTATTTCATCTATATTTAGGATAAATTACAAATTGCATCATTAAACTTTAGTCTCTCTTCTATTTTGTTAGCTGAACTTTCAAAGTGTTCAATATTTTCACTGAACTTAATACATTGAGTTTTCTTGGCCACTGAACTTTAATCTCTCTCATTATGGTTACTCCGTCGTTATATAGCTATTGGCGTTAAAAATGACATCGTTTTAAAAAAAATAAAATTTTCACCAAAACAATGTCGCTTTGCATCTATATAACAAATCATTTTAACGTCGTTAACTATTTAACGGTCAAATGACCAAAAAATCTCAATGTATTAAGTTTAGTGAAGAAATTAAAAATATTTAAAGTACAGTGAATGAAAGAGGAAAAAGAGTAAAATTCAATTATCAAATTCATAATTTACCATTATATTTATAAGGATTTCGTTTTGATCTGTCACATAGATCTTTCAAAGGTTTTGTATATGTATTGTAGTCGATTAAGAATATGTATATAAGGGATGTACACTAATCAAAAATTCTAGTGGATGAAAAGATATGTTTGAAGTTTTTTTTTTGTGTTACAAGAGAAAAGAAAAACGAGGCTAAGTTGCAGAGAAACTTTTAAGGAAGGAGATTCCCCTACTATCAGTATCCAAGAATGATAAGACTTCAGTCGATGGAAACACAAGAACGACCAACTCCTGGTATAAGGAGCAGCCCATTTTTAATAAGATATCAGCATAGAAATTTTCCTTCACGATAAGTGTGTTAAAAAGTAAGATGCCAATTACGAGATTTAAAGTTGTGAATGTCCTTAACAATTGGTCTCATCGGATGTAAGGTTATATCTCCATTCTCAATGAGTTGAATGACTCATCGCGCATCCACTTCACATTCTATGGACTTTTATCCATGATCCCACGCAATGGATAAATCAATCCTTATCGCATGAAGTTCAGCAACCATACTTGTACAAATTCTCAAATGAGTAGTAAAGCTCAATACCCAGTGACCTGTTCCATTGCGAAGAACTTCGCCTGTTCATGAGATCTCCGGATTTCCTTGACAAGCTCCGTCAATATTCAGCTTCAAGCTCCCCACTCTTGGAGGTATCCACGCTACATTAAGATGGCAACTTTGTTTCTGAGCTGGTCTAGCATTAGCCAATAGAATCTCCTTCGAAGTCTCTACTATATAACGTTAAATCCCATAATCCTCTTGAACAAGTTCATCGACATCAAAAATTCTTTTACACCGCACGGTCCAAAGCCTCCATATGGTAGTGGCGAACAACGTAACCTATGCTTACGATTTATTCTCCAAATCCAGATTATTGAGCAACCAGCTATGTACATCTTGGGGAAAAAATCATTTTGCATGGAACCAGAAAAGTGGCGATTCCATATTTACCTAATCGTTCCACATTCTCTCAATATGTGGGATAATTTTTCTAAGGGGCATCCACAAATACTATAGCCAACCGAATGTAACATACCCCAAGTCGCCCTTCGAGCATTAGTGAGAAGTCTGTCACGCCATGCCAACCAGATGAAGGTTCTCCACCAAAGAGGAACTTGCAACTTCTAAATCCATGAAATGTCCATTTCATGGTCCCTAAACTCACAAACAATAAGGGAAACATATGTTGATCGGATAGTAAATATATTGCAATACCAAAATCTGATCGGACCTAAAATCTAAAAGATTTGGATATTACATGGAATCACTAAAGTGATTAACCCTTTTTTTAAAAATATTTCTTAAAATGTAGATAAGTCATTCATAATTTAAGTCGTAATTAAGGTTTACAAGTGGAGAGCTCCCAATTAACATTCCAAAATAAACATCCTAGTTTTAAACAAAAAGAGTTTCGACTCTGTCATCACCCATTTTATCCGGGTGATGACGTTTTTAATGGGCTATTACTTTATTTTATTATTAATATTAATATTATTAATAAAAAAATAATACAACTTTTATTTTATTTTTGGAGGCCCAAAATACAAACTCATTCACCCTTTAACCCAACCAAAAAAGAACCAGCCCACCAAGCCCAAATGAAACCCTAGCTAACCTAACCCTAGACCTAGCAACTTGCTGCCGTCGCCGTCAGCCTTCAATATTTGCCAATGCCGCCACCACTGAATCGTTACTGAGCCACTTTCATCACTGCAAAAAATCCAAACAAATCACATCCAATTTAATAAAAAAATAATATAAATCACATTCAAATCTACCAAATACCGAGAATTCAAAAAGCTACTCATATCCCTATCACCTAGCAATCATCTACCCTCTACCAAAAAAAACATCACCATAAAAGGGGAGCCATTCGAACAAGAAAAATGGGAGGGGGGAGAAGAAAACGAAAGAGAGAAGAGAAGAGATTTGAACAAAAATAAAGAACCGAGAGGGAAAAAAAAGAAATCGGAGGAGATTCGAAGGAAAAAAACACAAACAAAGAAGAGAAAAAAGAGAAGGAGAAGACACTTATCCTTGCTCGATCTTCGCCGGGGAGTTCGAGGGTCACCAGTGCTGATTACGACGATGGCCATGAGTGTTGTGTGGCTTTAGGGTTTTTAAATCCTGAAAAAGAGATTTAATACAACTTTCAAAACGACGTCGTTTAGGGGAAAAGTGACCCACCTTTTTTGGGCTATTTTCGTGTTAGTCCCTTCTATCTTTCTAGCCTTCCATTTTAACCACTGAATGGAGCTTTGATTTTCCTGTTTCGAGAATTGCATTAGTTCTCTATTTCATTTACATCCCTGTCTTGTTTGTGATCATGTTTATGTCAATATTTTAATTTCGGTTGTTACTTTTCTTTGCTTTCATTTTAGTCACTGCTTTTTAGATTAGTATATGAGATTTTATAATTTCATTGCATGATAGTCCCTGATGTTTGTACATATATATTTATATATTTTAGTAAGTATTATCTTTGTACATTATAGTATCATGTATATTATTATTTTTATTTATATTATGTTTGTCGAGTATAAATATGTATATATATTTTAATATATTCTTACCTTTGTGTATTTATTTATTAGTAGTGTATATGTGTATATGTTTTTTTTTGTATGTATTTTATGCATATTAAATACTTGCCATGTATGTTAAATAGATTTTATTCTTTTTTATGTATTTAATTATAGATTAAATTTCAATTTGACTTTCCATGAATATTAAATACTTTCCATTTTATGTATAAGTTTATGATATATGCTTAAGTACATGTGCATATTCTTTATATAGTTATCGTCTTGCATGTTAATTTATAAATATACATGTATTTTTAGCCTTTGTCATTTTACTATTGAAGTCTGTTACTTGTATTTTCTTTAGATTTAATCTTTGATTGCCATTTTCAATTTTAACATATAGTGTTCAAATTTATATTTGTTCTATTGTGGCCCCTTGCATCTTTTTAAATATTTGTTGATTTATTATTTTTACTTATATATATATATATATATATATATATCGAGCATACTTCATAGAGAAAATAACCTCAGTGACAAAAAATCCTAGATAATATACGATTTTGATCAATTTTTTTTGGATTTACGAAAATGACCAACAAAAGCGCAATGCGATCTCTAATTCGCATTGCGATCTCCACTATCGCAAATTCGCGTTGCGATAGTTGAAAATCGCGTTATGATTTTCCATTTCGCGTTGCGATAGTCTACAGTTGTTGTTGCGATAGTCTACAGTTGTCGTTGCGATTTTCCAAATTCGTTGCGATAGTTTTAAAAAAAAAAAAGATTTTGTTTCTTAAAAATTTTCTCTAAAAAAATAGTATCTGCGCGGACGTGTCGAAGACACGTATTACCACGACCACGACCCGACCCGACCCGAGACGGACGGCGGCGGCGCGTGAGAGTCCCCCTTATTCTCTATCACTCAACAAGGAAGTGGGAAAGACAAGCCTTAAATACCATTCCCAATAGTGTTTTCAATATTATGTGGGATTGAGCATTACCAACACTTGTTTCCAATACAATGTGATTATTCAGGAAACAATTAACAATCATGCACCTTAAAACAACTGAATTAGCAACCAATTGCATTAGTATTATACGATTAAATATGTCATAATTAAAAGTCAATCTACAATCAATCACGATTATTGTAATTTTAAGCAAAACATTCAAAAATAATATCACTATTTAAGGCTCAATCTCACATAGTATTGGGAACAAGTGTTGGTAATGCTCATATCCTACATAGTATTGGAAACACTATTGAGAATAGTATTTAAGGCTTGGCTTTCTCACTTCCTTGTTGAGTGATAGAGAACAAGGGGGACTCTCACGCGCCGCCGCCGCCGTCGTCCGTCTCGTCTCGGGTCGGGTCGTGGTCGTGGTAATACGTGTCTTCGACACGTCCGCGCGGATACTATCTTTTTAGAGAAACAAAATATTTTTTTTTAACTATCACAACGAATTTGGAAAATCGCAACGACAACTATAGACTATCGCAACGAATTTGGAAAATCGCAACGACAACTGTAGACTATCGCAACGCGAAATGAAAAATCGCAACGCGAAATGAAAAATCGCTACGTGATTTTCAACTATCGCAACGCGAACTGGAAAATCGCAACGCGATTATCACAACGCGAAATGAAAAATCGCAACGTGATTTTCAACTATCACAACGCGATTTTCAACTATCGCAACGCGAAATGGAAAATCGCAACGCGAACTGGAAAATCGCAACGCGAAATGCAACGCGAATTTGCAATAGTGGAGATCGCAATGCGAATTAGAGATCACATTGCGATTTTGTTGGTCATTTTCGCAAATCCAAAAAAAGTTGGTAAAAATCGTATATTATCTGAGATTTTTGGTCACTGAGGTTATTTTCTCTACTTCATATTATATTTCATTATATTTTGTGTATATTTAT